GTGGGTTCTGAGGCAAAGATCTCATTCAGACTGACATTAGTGTTCATCTGAGAGAATGATCCGGTTGGAAAAGACTAATATCTCCTTTCCGGTGTTCGAGAAAACAGGAACTAAATTACTAAGCAAGTATCCGCCCTGTCAAATGACTGAAGTGAAAACTGAACAGAGTGCGCTGGGTTGATGGTCTTAGATAGTGATTGATTTGTTACTCTGATCAGGTAGGTTTTGGTCGGTATTTGGAAACGCCACAGTTTTCCAAGTCTACTATCCTTGTCATGTCTTATGCGAGATTTAACATGTAAATAATCTGAGCTTTAAGATATATTGTTTTTGTCTTACGTAGACCATTTCTGGGTTGGCTAATTCGAAAATCAAACTGTATTCAGTTACTGCCAAACAGGCCGAANGAATGCAACTGTAAACACTTTTCCTTTTGCTGAAAACAAAAATACATCAGCCACTGCTCGGAGTAGTTGCTAGACGCCAGGGTGTCGAACAGACTGGATCAAATTGACAAAGATATTCTAGTGCAAAGTTGCTGAATTCCTTGCCAAAAAGTGCTACGAAATGCTTGAAAATAAGAGATTGCACAAGTAGTATTGATGAACTAAATTCCATCATGTTGATCATGCACCTCTGGGGCATTTTTGTGATTTTTCTCACGAATTCCATGTTCATAGTTTATTAATATAGGAGCAAACGATTAACTTATCAGTTCTCCTACTGATTCTCCCGGTGGTAGTTGCATTCGAAAATTACCATTTTTCAATTAAATTGTTAAGGATGATAGTCGAGGTTTGATTGACTTTAAAGGTACAACAACCTTCCAAAGGGGCATCAAACTGGATCCAAGGTGAGAATATTCAACTTATTTTCCCGTTCCTTCCTAAATCCGAAGCCGACTAGTTAATATGAACGGGCAGTAGGGCATGTTTTTCGATTACATGAAAAAAATAATCTCATATGGAACCAATGAAACTTAAATTTGAAAGTTGGAAACGCATTGTACGACTGGTTTGACTCCAACGGAAGTGACAGTCCGTCATCTCGATTCACGATTGAACCAATACTTGTTTCAAACAGTACATTGATGAGCGTATAGCTGTTCAGGTTTTCTCCTCAATCCGGTCGACGGTTATGCATTACCGATATGGTCCTATGAGATCAAACTTGTTGTACAATGTGTTCAGCTATTTTGACTCCGATACGGTCATATGCTTTAGAATTCAATCCTTCAACATGCATTTAGTAAAAATGGGTTCTCAAATTTTGTATCATTCGACATATTTGTCAGTTCATCTCAACTTTCATTTCGTTCTATAGTGAAAGAGCATTTAGCAAATCGATCCAGTAGGAAGAACATAATGTGTCCGATTGTGCACAAGTTAAATGCCCATTGTTTAATTCAGAACGTTTCTATTCGTAGCGATTAGAAAATTTGTTCCATTCTCCTAACGGGAGAAACCACGGACAAAAATAACAAATTAATTCGTTTAGACTAGTAATCCAACCGGAATATTGATCAATCCACAGGCCACGAAATCACATGTGAGACCTGGTTACGCCGAGCGATGAGAAATGAAATGCACTCAACTGTGACAGCCAGTCACTGTTTGGACAGTGAAAACCATGTGTCTTCGACACAGGCTGTGATCATATCGTCTGTCGGGTTTTTCCCACCATTGATGATAAAGTCTGTGGGAGGCAAGTTATGTGCAAGTTCGGAATGAGCCCTCAGTCGGGGAGAATATCAAAAGATCAAATCAGCCCGGTTTCGTGGGTTCCCGTAAAATAATTACACGTTCTACTGTGAAATGTTAAAAAAATAGAAATAATATGTGAATGTGCCATTGCGTTTCGAAATGTACTTTGATATTGATGAAAAACACTTACTATTGATTATCAATTAATGTTTAGTGTTAGTTAGTGCCATCATTTTAAATTCCCCAAGGACTGTTTTGTATCATAAACATCAATCGGACAATGAATTAAATGCACTAAATAAATTAGTCACAATATCATTAGTATCAATATTAGATTACTTCTTCGGGGAACATTTCGTAATTGAGTATAATCATTCATGAATAGAACGGGAAATTATTGCAATTACGTTTCTATTGGTTATTTTATTAGTCTTCAACAACAAAAATATTCCCGATTACTTTACCACTCCACCCCACAAATCAGGCTGTATGCGAAGCAGCTCTGTTCTACGCAAAAATGTTGCATGAACAGTTACGTCTTCAGGGCTATTGCGATGAACAGGGACAATTTGATATATCTGATCAGGTAAGCAATTGACAACAATCTCAATGATTGGTCTATTCATCCCTCGTATTCCATTCTGTTAGACCATATTTGTTTTGAAGAATTGTTCCAAACCATGAATTCACGTCCGGGATCGAGCTGGGTTGAATGGAATAGGTGTGACCGTGAGCTCCATTCCCTTACCACATAGGAGATCATGTTGTTTCTTATCAGGTTTAGGCTACCTACGAAATGAACATGGTGACGCAAAACTGGTGCAAAATCAGGTGTTTTTGTCCCTGATATCTGTAAGCTAACCCGAACGAGAAGCCACACCTTTTTCACAGCCCCGAGTCTTGGGCAAGCCCAGTGAACCCAAACTATACATCAGGGGTGCCACCACCACACAGATGGAGTGGACGTGACAACAAGAGCATTACAAAAAGTGCAAGCCGGTAGTCGGTCAGTCTCGTATTGGTGTGAGGGATTGCAAGTGCCGCAAATCGCGGAACATGCTGCAATCAGATCATAAAAAGAGGTAAGATGGAATTTACTTGTTCGAGGTCACAGGTGATAGGGGCCAATCAATATGAAACAATGAAACAATCACACTATATTCCCACTGAACTGCCAAAACCCCAGTAAATCAATCATGCACTGCTTGATTGATCATACATTAAACAAGGGTAAGGGATAACCCACTGTAGTAGTGATTAGCGTTCAGACTTTCATATGAAAACCATCAATTTGTGTGCGGTATCCCAGTTGATTCTGTATTTGAGTCGAAAAGTACCAGAAAAGATGTTTGGCCATCGCACTTCGTGATAAAAAGCTCAACATATAGGTCTACTATTTTCCATTTTATTTCAGTGTGTGTTTCGTTCATGCAACAGTTCCGCGATCTTACACATGACTGATATATATATATATTATGATATATGATATAATGTATAATATAATACAATATATATAATATATGGTAAGTAGTGTGAGAATGACTGGACAAAATCGCCCTGGAAGCACACGACCGCTTTTGCAGTTCTTGCCGCTCATCGGGCATGCATATCCGGTAATCTTTCCAGTGCATTCATATACTTGTACCCAGGACTAGACTTTGATGTTAATTTTTTCCATCATTCTACCAAGGCAGGACTGGAGTTGAGAATAAAACAGACTATTGAACAAGCTGATTTTCCATGAGTCTAAACCATCCAACTGACATCACTACAGGTCTCAGTGGTCAAGCGAATGTGATGCTCTATGCCTTACGGTCCATTCGACAACCGGACTGCTTTCACGCTGTCTGTCCTTGTCCGTCCTTACACTGGCCTGCAATATCATGACTCGCTCGAAAATGTCCTACACAGCATTCGGTCTGTAGTGTTGCAAGGTGTTTCCTCAGTTACACTCACGCATGTGCTCTGCTGAATTACCGTTATTCGTTGTGCACTACATCCAGAATTCTTCCTTTAGGATGCTTGTCTTCTGTACACATCTGCACTTCTGCACATCTTGTAAGCGTCCAACTCAAATAAGTGGATAGATGTATTGACAATTGATCGTAGCATCCAAGTGAACTGGTAGAGTGTTAATTATTACCACGAAAAGCTTATAGGTTGAAATCTGACGACCATGAATCTAGAGAGCCCTTAAGCAGATGCATCCGCAATCCTGCNCGAACACACATACACTGGTAAAAATACCTTCCCAAATACAACTTATTTTCGTTCCATTTATTTTGATTCTGGAATAACTGACGAATAAACTATGTCTTATTACATACGGGATTGAGAACAACAAGGTGGCGAAAAAGCTCGTTTTCAGTTATACGTAATCATGCCATTACATAACGTTAAATATGACTAACAGTAAGAATAAACAAGGAATGAGAGATACGCAATCGTGAGCAGTGAAGCATCGAATCTTAGTCACAGCCGAAGCTGTAAGTACTCGTATTCACAACCCCCCCCCCGTCCCCTTGTGCGCCCAGAAGAAGTTTGTGCAAGCACTTACTCTTCCCGGGCCCATTTCAGCCACTCCAACACGTGTGCAATCAAGTGAACTGTTGACATTGTGATCAATATCACACAGGCACACATGCACGCATGATTGGAGCTGAAGCTAAACCACTAGGACGCGAATCTCTCATTCCTTGTTTATTCTTATTGCTAGTCATATTTAACGTTATGTAATGGCATGATTACGTATAACTGAAAACGAGCTTGTTCGCCACGTTGTTGTTCTCAATGTGTTCTGTGGGACTAATGAAACGTTTGAAACATACGGGATTGTATCATCCGTGACCATTACAACATGGATGTTATGATCACTATTCTGAATGATGATAATTATTCTAAATGTCTTTTGAAGATTTGGAACAATTCCATTGTTCACTGTATTACGGCAATTACTTTACTAAGTGGTGGTATGTCCAGAACTAACCGTGTTACTTCAATTTTCTTGTAACACCTATGTGACAACTTATGTCAAACGTCATGGAGCGCATTCAACACCTTAATATTTAAATGAATGCTTTTCATTTGCATATCTTTTTCCACTTAAGACTATTTTTGTTCGATTTATGTTTTTCCCTTTGGGAAACCGATTTTGAATTGTTCATTCACACCCCTCAAGCACTTGGCTAACTGCAGTGATCTTTTCTTGAAAACGTATCATTCAATTCATCAGTGCCCTACATATAAGTATCTGGAAAACGTTTTTCCATCAATGCATCAGGTGACTGCGGACACTATAAATGACGTAAAATCGGAACGCGTCTTTCTGCTCTCTTTCTATCTCTAATTGATTACGCCCCCAAGTATTTGATCTAATCAAATCACTGCTTTCAGATGCTCTATCATACTCAACTCCCCGACTGCAATTCGCATTGTTTCCACTCAGGTGTCTTGACATTCTGTGGCCTTATTTTTGTGTTTATTATAGACCATCTATGGTATTTTTCTCTTGTTCTTGTAAAGTGGCTATTGGGCAGCAGATTATTTACCCACCAGTTGCGCATTAATTGTTTTAAAAGAAATTCAGAGAGGCAGAGCAACTGATTTTCAGTGATTTGTAATCATATCAACACATCACGGAATACATTACTAATTAAGAATGATTTTTAAGGATCCTCACCCTAATCAATCTTTTTACACATGGTACAATAAACGGCAGAAGATTCCGTGGTCAATATAGCTCACTAGTCAAGCATGATAACCCGTAACCTGAAGGCTGGTTAGTGAAGAGCTGAACCTCATAAGTTTCCATGAAAAATGTCTGGTCCTTAGGTGGAATTTGTCGAGGCTGTGTGCGATTAAGTTGAATGACTGTGGTAGGGTTTGAATCTCGGACACAAGGGTTCAACGCTTGCAATAACAGTAACTTAAACCACAGTATCATCACAATCACCACCGCAACCCATTAGTGCAGAATTTTAGTTGAAACACACTGTACCCTGCATATCCTATATAAACGGCTCCTCGTTCTTTTCTAATAAAAAGTCCTCAATAACTTCGTCATCCCAATGCGCACGATGCCATGTTCCTACACGCTTCCTTTCCACAGTTATGTGTGGGTCTGAACAATCTGGAGTCGGTCATACAGTGCGTGAATCGTATCCCTGATGTGCTCAAATGGACCAGACCCAAATTATCTGTGGAAGACTTACCACCGGCTGCTGCATCCGATCTATCCGAGACTGACCCGGTGGTAAAGGAGACGAAAGAAGCGAAAGGAGAAGCGACTGGAGAGCCAAATTTGGAACACTTGGAGCGCATTCTCCACGAGGGTGTAGCAAATCTGGACAGTGTACTGGATCGTTTATTCTCCCGTGTTAGAGCAAAGGTAGGCAAAATTCTCAATTTAATATTTAGTATTACTGGTATGCATTGCAACCTCTTCTAATCAGACTAACATCTGCATATTTGACGTTTAGTGTCTTATTGAAAGAGTTTTCATTTTGTCCCATGATTGTCTGATGAACACGCATTTAGTACACATTTTGGCAATTACATTCTATGAAATTATCATCATCATCGTCATCATCATCATCACCATGAACAGCAGCATCGTCGTTTTTTAACCAATAGTCTATTTGCATTGAAACTGCTTGAAGTTCACAGTATTTTCTGCTTAAATCATAACTGAATATCGTTTTAACTTGTCCTCCTTTTCTGGAATCCAGCCCTTTGTTATGGTTATTTATTGTTTTGTTTATGTTGGCTCTTCAAGAAAACCTTTGGGAAGCTCATGATCAGTTTTGCTGTCTTCTCTCTTCGTTTTTGTTGGGCCAAATGAACTGACGATCAGTGCGGACATTATTGGTACAAACCTGAATCGGTAATTGTGGTGAGCCTTGAAGTGAGCTGGTTAGTCTAATGAGAAAACGTATTCCATGCAATCAATATGATGTTGAAATTCCGGACTCGCTGTTTGGATGGCATTTCTGATTAGCTTTGAGGAAAATAACATTTTGGTCTGAAAGTCAAAAATGTTCGATTTCCGATGATTAACTTAATAAACGAAGGATTGCACAGGAAGATGAGGCTTAAAAATGGTCAGTCAAAACCGGTCGCACTTTGCACAGTTCTACTCACAAGTTACTACTATGACTTAGTATGTTTTATTGCTCACTCCGCGACGCAACTCAAACAACAAACTTTACCCATGTCACTTTCTTAGATTTACTATTTTGAATCCAGCGCTATCCAATCTATTCCACACTACCCACCCCACACACACACACTACGATTGACTGTAAAAGACAAATCAGAGAAGTATTTTCAAACAGCTGTCTATTTAGTCAGGGAAAATATTTTGATTTCTACATGGCTACTATACTACTATATTACAAGACAAAATAAGCATCGCGGTTAGCACCGATCAAACTAAGCGCTTCGCAGTTAAATTGAAAGTGTGGCGTATTGTATAGAATATAGTGTAAGGTAAATACCAATTCATCGTATAGCTTGAGAATTAATGGAACCTACGTGAGAATCTGTGTTCGGTTTCTGACGGTTTTTTAAAGCTGAGTAGCTTCGAATTTGAACCCACATTTAAGCATCAAGTCCTACAGTTGTCCGAGTGTCACGGCATTATCTTCATAGATAATCGCAGTACCATACGTTGACTGGATCTTGTAGAATACATAAAATGCACCGTTCACTCGGACGAATTTCCAAACTTGTGATTAGAAAAATTGAAATTTTAGTTGGTTGTCGGGTGCGTTTCGCTTGAAACATTGGTGTCGATATCAGTTGCTTCAGCTGTGTGACAGGAAGAGGACGGTCTGAAGTGAGGTAGGTCTGTATGCACCTGTGCCTCATTTGTTTGGAAAAGTGATGCCAGCCGGCTGGGGATCTACGTAAGAGATGCATTAATTTATGGCAATCATGTCTGAGAGAAAATGAGCAATCGACAGCAGTTGCGTTAAATAAGACTGGGGACTGATCCAAGGTACTCTCCTTAGACTGAATGGACAGCTTCTGAACCTAATAAAACTGTCCTTCCAACAACCGACCCGTTTAGGTTTGTTGATGAATGTGCCTGGTAAATCCTTCTCTATCCTATCTCAAAACTGCTTCAATGTTTTGTTTCGGGTTCTCGTTGACAACGTCACACAAATGTTTTGTGAACTTGGCTTTTCGTGATCCCGGTTAAAGTGTTATTTATCGATCTGTGTGGATACAACAGTATGGCATGTTTTGATCCTAAAACCGAGCTCTTTGAAACCTTCATTCACAACACCAGTTCTGCATGCATATTCAAATGCGCTCCTTCAATGGTTTGCGCTAGTCAACCGGTAGTGTCATATCATTCCTTTCATATTATTGTCATGTATATCATTCATGCGTACTGTCATCACTGTTTTACGTTGCAACGTTCAATACAATTACTTGGGTTAACTACGTAGCGTGCAGTCACGACACCTCATTTGCCCCCCCCCTCCCGCCCCAAGCTCTGAAAGAGTGCCAGTTGCGAATGAGCACAGTGGCTAAAGGGCTTTGCAATCAGCATTAAGCACCGTTTTCTCCCTAACTCTTTATTCTCCTGACTTTTTTGCGGGAGACAGTGGACTTTATTCCCATCGGTATTACGACAGGAACAGTGGTCATCGCGTGGTGTTACTAAACAGTATCAAAAAATCCAAGAAGCGACGCTTATCGGATACAGAAGAGTGAATAAGCTCTAACAGGACCTCAGCCATCGGAGAACGACATCGAAAAGAGGTGTGCCGTATTCTATTTCAAACTCTTCACTTGGTTTAACCCCGTAGGTTGGAGTGTTCGTTGAGCCAACAATACAAGCTTCTAAGGAAATGTATGCATTCATTATGAAGCACAGTGTATATTTTAACTACCATGTAGCCTTAACACCATTGCGATTTCACCCATATGTATCTTTTGTCAGAATAAGTTGTTCGGTGTTTTTTATCTCATCCATATCTTAGGGTTTGTAAAATACCACTCACATTGGAGAGCACATGAAAAGGTTGTTGGTGGATTCAAATGATATTAGTGATCGAATTAAAGAATTCAATTTTGTTATTATAGCTGAGACAAAGAGACTGTCGAGCTGTCTGCCCATGGATCAACAACCTCTCATGAAGATATTTACCGTTTTTTACAGATTAACGTATCGTTCTATGTAATCTAATTTACCCACATCGCTCATGATATTCTGATAACTGACTCTCCGCAGTCTGATCTTGTTTTGTGAAACTGTAACAGTAGTAATTGCGCCAGTCAAGTGATTTTCGCACTTTTTCAGTTACCGATGAATCCATACGACCATCCAAGCCAACGCGGAATAACTTATGAACTCAATATCCAAGTCCACGTGCTCTCAGGGTCTGTTTTAATCCAAACAGCAACGAACAATAATGCAGTACTTTATAATATAAAAGGTAACGATTGCATAAACAAAGCATCTCAGACAGTGGCGTTTCCCAAGGGAAATGTCTAAGCCGTATACGAATTGAGTTTCACAAGTAAGGGCTGGATAGACCAAAAACTCTGTGTGACGAGGAAGGAACAACAATGAAAGGTCAAAAGTACACGCGGTCTAGTCATTGATTCGATGGGCAGTTCTCATTGAACCAAGAAACAACCAATCACTCAGAGTTCCACAAGCTCAGCTCGGTTGGATGTGGAGGGAGAGGGTTCGTTAGGGCACGTATGCCCGTGGAGAGAGTCGACATGATCACGTGATCACACATGAACTAGCAAGGGATGCGAACATAAGAATGGTGGATTGCAAACGAATGAGGAATCGAACAAAGCAATAAGTAAAAGTAACCGTAGAGAACTTGATCACGTGAGGAAATTTACCATGATTCAAGGTCTGATTAATAAGTGCAGTGGATCATCAACTGAGACCAGCAGAAACTAGGAGTTTCAGGAGACCGGGTAAAACAGATTCAAGCACCTCCATTGGTGTCATAAAACCGATTCACCAATCACTTTGAACGTCATACAGATGTAAAATATTTCACTGGTGACCAAATGTTATGCCAAAAACTAGGCATGTGATAAAATGGTAATAAAAAAATTAAATTACGTCATATTAATCTAATACGGAAGAAGATACTTGATACCAGCCATTAATCCCAAACAAGAAAGAGGTTATTCTTTCTCTCTTCCATCATTTGTTGGATAAAATATTGTTAGCACCAAACAAGCACTCATCCATTCTGTTAGTTGACAATTCGGAAGTATTTAGCCACCGAAAACTAAATAAATAAATTCTTTTCTTTACGAATTCTCTTGTTAGAAAATCAAATCAAAATCAATTGTTCATTGTGCTTATCGGTCCAAATCGATAAATGGGAATCCTGTCGGTCGCACGCTCATGCATGACACGAATTGGTCTTCTACTTGGGACACACAAGGTTTTATTGCTATCATAAAATTGTCCTTGGTGCTGAAAACCAGGGCTAATTAATTAGACAATGAGGAGTAAATACATTGGGAGACAGACCAGGGTGTTGTGCGAAGAGATACTAAGTTTTATGAATGTCAACAACATGGAAGCTGGCTAACCACCGCAGGGAGCGTTCTGTTATGGACAACCGGAGCAGGTGTGAAGCGCTATGTGTCCATCTTGGTCCACTGCCAATCTGCCATCTGTTTGTCATAAGTGTCTCTCATCGCCCAACTTGAGATCATGAAGATCAACACGAAGATCATACACAGAGTTCATTTCGCAAACGATAAACACGACGAGAATATGCTGTGGATATATTTTCATCAAACGGAATTAAATGCATCACAGAAATCCATGATGAATTGCGGTGTATATCGAACAATGAAAGTGCCAAACCTAAAGTCACAAAGCGCAGTGTATATGTTTAGATATTGAAAGAATCGTTGTATTAAGAATTGATCGAGAAATCAAAATAAATTCGTCACGGTTCTACTGTAACCAGTGGCCGTGTACTGAATTCCTCCAATCGAATCACAACTGGGAAGGCCAGTAATAATTTGAACTACATGGGATACCTGGAAATATCTAGCAATGATGGCTTATGCTACCTTGTGCCCAGACAACGTGAACCTCTCCGATCAGCTATCCGGCGGTAAAATGAGCAATTACTTCCTTCTTAGTATAAAGCATCGAAGTTCTTTGCTCTGCACTCGCATAGATGTGACTGTGTGCGTGTGCTTAACCACTGATAAATATAGAGATGTGATTGAAATGGTCACGACTAACACAAAATAAGCATGTTCCCTAGTGCCGTTCATTTACAGCCTGCTACGCGGAAATGTTCACACAAGCACTAACATTCAGTTCATTGCTAACCAGTCAGCCAAAGTGACTCACTTTTTCTGTCCATATGTGGAACG